AAGCATCCGTGTTGAATGTTGGCGTGATAACTGGAAGTATTGATACCCCGCGCCCTGTGCACGGGCCTGATTAACCAGCTCAGGTAAGGTATCAGCACGGAGTATGGGAAGGAGAGGTCTTTGCGTTTATTGATAGATTGCGATATTAATAGTCGTGACTGCTGCAGCTCGCGGCTCTTGGCTGTCTCTGGCGTTTGGTTCGTGTGAGAATCTTAACCATCAGGCCAAAACGCCTGTCCAAGCGATGGCCTCGTCTCACTTCTAATCTCTTGCATAAACAGTTGTGCGTCTTCCGATAAAGTGAAGTGTAAGCAAATGCGTGTAAGGCACAGGGGCATCACAAACACTTTCTTTCTTTGCCAGAAGCCACTAAAAGTGTGTTTACTGCAAATCTTCAGGCCGCTTTATTAGATGCACGTCGTACAGCGTGAATCTTCACCTTTTTATTTCCGTGTCAGTCCAGGGTCCTGCAGCTGTGTGCTTATGGTAATCATAAAGGAACTCATAGGACAAATAGGTACCGACAGGCTGCTTTGAAGCAAACCCGCCCATCGGGCCATTGACCGAATTCGAAGTTCGGTAAAATGCCGGTTCTTAATCGGTTGAATATGCACTTGTGGCTTCCTTCTCCTCCTGCGAAAGACAAATGTTAGGAATAGTGAGAGAAAGATGCTGCAAAGCTACTCCTCCCAGCGCAGTCTGGGACAATTTAACATCTGGCATTGAGTGCGAAGCTGCATTTTGATCTCGACTTGCTACGTTAAAGCCTAATTATTCGCCAAAATTTCATTCTTTAGGTCATGGAGACTCTCTGTAATATTCTGAATTGTTCAGAACGACTGTCCGCCTCCGCTACGTGTCTGGCTTTTCGCGATGGCAGGACCCCTCTGCTCACTTCGGTTCCTTTTCGCATTGCGAGCAAACTTTGCAAAAGGGTTATGGTAAGTTGGACGGAAATTGATCTGTTCATTACAATCGTTACCGTTATCGGCCAGCCACACCGCAGATCCATTGTGGAAGGGTTTGAGATCTGCACCCATTCCGGGTTGATATTTAAGCATTTGAGCCTACGTTTCTATGAATCGAGAGCTGAATTCGGGCTCTGTTGGCTACATTCATCCGCTACCTTTGACAACACCACGCCCATGCGGCCGGATTGTAGGACGGAATGTTGTTGATCCTTCTTCCCCGGTCTCATAGATAGCAACGGAGTTGTATCACCGGCCTTATCCGCTAGCCGAACGTCATGTTAGCAAATTTCCGATTCTTGCTGTGCGATTTTGGGGTATGGCTGATCAATCACCGTAAATGAGGTAGAAATTATTACAAGGTCTCCCCCGGCACCGTTTATTTCATGTCCATTTGCAGACTACCCTGAGCCGAAGCACGTTGTGCCCCACTTCCAAATGACGACGTGCAGCTCTTACCTCGAAGGAAAGAGGACTTGCTCCGAAGGGCTTATCTGTTGACAGATCAATTTAATTAGAGGATGCTTAGTCCAAAACCTCTGAACTCACCATTTGTAACACGAAAGTGGGATACATTGCACGAATTCATAAAGGTCTTTGAATAGAATATCGGTTTCAGGATTGCATGCGACAAGCAAGTAGCCCTCCGAACACTTTACATAATAAATATGAATTCGTACTTACTTCTTCTAAGTAGCATGCCCATATTTGATAGGAACATGCCGTTGTTGTATGAAGTCGACTGACACAAGAATATATTGATGCCTCTCAAGTCTGTCCGCAAATGAATCCACCCGTGAGGAGAAAACATAATCAGCGGACAGAGCGTTCCACACTGCGATCGCGGAGTTACTGAAAAAAACGCTTTTACTCATCTATCCTAGTTTGCCTTGTGCGCACTTTAAGCGGATGAGCGCGAAAAGTGTGCATGTTAGCCTGAGTGACATATTGTTTAGGTCAAAGTAACAGTGTAGGCGATGCATTATGCGGAATTATGGTAATAGCTCTCCTCGCAACTGTCTGTAGGACAGTGGAAAGATGGTGACAATGTGCTGGAAATGTTTACTTTTTCACGAAGAGACGATCTCACAACAAAACACATGCTCATGTTTCCCATGCTTCATGACAGCGTCCTGGATTGGCCGTGACCACAGCGCCCCCGGTCAGATCCAATTGGTCTATGTCTATGAGACTTTGGTCGCCTTTTCTATTACTTTCTCTTGAAGCTGACTTAAAAGGAGAGAATGGTATACATACAAGACGAGTCTCAGTGAGAAACATTTGTATTCTTTTAATACCAGTGTTGTTATTGCTTTTGCATTGAATGATTTCAACTCACGACCGTTCTCTTCGTCAATAGGCGTCTCCCTCTTCCATTTCAACGTACCCGGTCCGACCTCTACGAGTCGACATAGTGGCTTGCAATATCTACGCATTGGAACAGTTCTTTCTGTGCTTTTTACGCTGGCTCCAACGATTAGCTTCCGAGGTACAACCCCTGACACCACTTATCTGTAACGCCCTCCTCGGTCGCTATGTCCAGTTCTCCGCGGGAGCGACCGTCATAGGTAGCGTCTCTGCCTCCGTGACTAATATCCTGTCCCCTGGTGAAATTTTGGTTGAACAGAGTCTTTTGGCCCGATACTTGGATCAAATCCACGCCGCACATGGTGGCTTACGCAAGAGCATGGTGGCTGTCATTACTGCTTCCCTGATGCAAGAGGCCTTTTATCGAAGCGTCTACGCGATTGAGTACATTCGGGCGAGTTGGCGTTCCCACTCGAGAGCAATGAAATCCAAACTATTATCTCCTGCACTGATCTACCACTAATATTACTTTCGTTGCTCTGATTCACGTTTTTTACTCTTCCCTCTTATTCCTCCTCGGAGCTCAAATGCGCAAGGGTGAGAGATACGAGCCGGAAATCTAAGAACGTATAGTTGCTCATTGGAACAGTTTTTTTGCTTCTTCATGATGTTTCGAAATGCTTGGTCGGCTCTCCATTCTGAAAGCGTCGGTTGTCACTATCGGTGAACGATTTGAATGTCTGGCTGTACTTCAGAAGAACTGTGATTGAAGAGGGCCCCACGACGAACGATTACCAGCATCTTCCACCGTGGTGACGAAGCGCACTACCAGCGGCTCTTAGCCTACGAAAAAATCCATCCGGGCGCGAGACAGCGAATGAACGAAAACATGTACCAACCCAAGGCCGAAAAGTTCACCTACCCATTCAAATCACTGGTTGATAGTGCCAGTCTACGCTTTGAAAATTGAGAGCCCATTAAACATTCCGAAACTTTAACATAAAGCAAAAAAATGTAAGTGTGAAAAGAAGAACGTTGTCAGATATTCCTCCTCTCCCGTAGATCGATCGAGGCCGGAACATCTATCTAGAGACAGTACGTGGTTTTGTGTTATTCGGGCTGCCGTTACTACTGTAGGTCGATCGGTGTGTTAGTTAGTGTATCTATGCGGTGAAGAGGACGTATATGGCCCTCTAAGCAAGACATGAGGACACCAGTCGTCCGCAATTGAGGTGTCTTTGTATCAAATTCCATGGGAAATACAGTGAAATGTAGTACTAGACTTAGAGTCAAAGTTTGCGTTAGGGGTCAACTCAGCATTCGGGTAAGTCAAGGTTTGTGTTAATGGTAGGCTTAGTGTTTTAGGTAGGGTGAGATTTAATAGTAGGACTGAGACTTGGGTTCATGCCAGGATTAGTGCATGGTTAATATTTGCCCTTCCTGCAATTATGCGCAGTCCCAAATTCATTAATCGACCCAGGCGTCTCTGTGTCCTTGTCCAGTTAATAGGGCCATATAATTATTCCTTATAGTGTGTCCTTCTT